TGGATCTGTGTGAGTAATGAAGCCAACCTTTGCTTCACGTTTGGTCTGAACCATAAAATAAATCTTATTTTAACCTGAAAGAAATGCAGGTCCTCTAATGTGGCTGGCTATAACAATGAGTTAGTCCTCATAGACTCTAACGTTTTAACTGACCAGTAAAATGACTTTGACCTTACACACACAGGCATCAAGACCTATTAGTGAACATTTAGCAACTGCAAGACGCTCGGTGTGATTCCCAACCAGTTACGAGGCCTTTCGGCTAAACCCTAATTCACTCAAGACTAGAGTCCAATCAGTGACTGCCCCTCAACCACAGTTTGATGGAGGCAGTGTGTATTCTGCAACAAGCTGAATAAACGAAGGTTGAATGCTGAGGTTTATTTATTGGTGTTGTACCCAATACCTGCTCGCAGTTCCTTTGGTCGCTAGCAGATTGTTGTGGTTGTCCATGGTTTGCATGGAAGATGCCAACTTGTGTGCAAATGCTCTCCAACTGCTAGCAGGGCGAGAGTAAATCTGAGAGCACAACGCAAGCTGGAAACAGAAAATGTTTTGCTGCAAAGTTGAAATGCAACTTTGTTTTTGAGTCCTTTGAAATGTATTGGCTGTAGGAGGGATGTACCACTTTTACTTTGAAGGCGAGTATTCTCGATTTCCTGTTTGTGTTGCACTTTGTGAAATGTGATTATTTAGCAAGTCTTTGCAGACAAGTCGAAGTCTTCCATGGAAACTATAGGCAACCACAGTAAACTGCTAGTGACCAAAAAAATCACGAGGCTTCCGGTGCAGCATCCTCTTTGCAGCCAGTTTCAACCATTAGCCAATCAGTTGGGGGTACTCAGTATGTTTTCCAGAGGGGTCACCAACCAGTCTCTGGACCCGTGTGACTGAGGCTTTACTTGGCATTAATTACCAGCTTTATTTAAAAAAACACCACGATGGCAATACCCAATAGCTTAAAACTGTCACCTGAAGCTCTGACTCAAAGTGAAGACCACTGAAATGTCATCACATCCCAAAAACATGTTCTGAAACTCTCAGTGATCCTCCCAAAGACAGACAGATACAAGCACACACTCACACATCAGTAATCAGACAGAGATAGAGGCAAAAACCAAACCGTCTAGCTTTCTCTCTCTGCGCCAATGGCTGTGCTGTCGTCATGGGAGATGAGTGATTTCCAACCCATGGGGGCTTTTCCTGTCCTCTCCACTCATTTCCCGACAGTCTCATTCAGAACATAATTGCTGCAGTAAACTGAATTGTGCTGCGCTCCAGCAAACGCTGCTGACAGCTATTAAAAATCACTTTAATTTCACAATTATGATCAAATACAGATCTGAATTCTTCTGCCTCATGGGAACAGTTTAGAACTACTAGTACAGGTAGTACTGCAGGAGTACAGAAACACTGCAGACGAATGCATACATTTTAATTTCTTTGCATCTGAGCAAAGTAACCCGTTTTATTTTATATATGAAAATCAGATTTTCCAGTACAATTTATTGAATCCTTACTATGCTCAGCATTTACATACACCCAAACATTTACCACCAACCACAGACTTTACCACCATTTTATTTAAAGACTTCTGTGTGGTCACCTGTTAAAACTGAAGATAAATGATTGAAGCTAATTAGATTCTGCGTAAATAAAAGACTCAACCACCCCCCCCCCCCACACACCTCCATTTCAACCAAAACGTCACACTGTGAAGTGTGAAGGATTCTTCCTTCTTCACTTAAGTAATGTTTTCACTCAAACACAAAGCACCAAATGAATTTCTCATTGCCCAGAATGACTAAAAGCTAGCCTCATGTAATTTCCATATATTACAAATTAAAGAATAAAACCACCAAACCAAGTGTTTTTTAAGCTAGACTGCAAACTCACTGAACCCAAATTTTAACAAGTGTCTTAAAAAAATGTTCAGATCAGTTACATGTAAGTGGAGATTTCTGGTGTGTATGAAAAAAATAATAAATGATATATGTTAATTATAGTTATTATATTAAATTACTCCGATATAATATAAGAGTCATGTCTTATACTTATATTTTATACTAGTTTTATATATATATATATAAAACTAGTATAAATACAAGTATAAGACATATATATATATATGTATATATGTATATATATATATATATATAAAACTAGTATAAAATACAAGTATAAGACATGACTCTTATAATATATCGGAGTAATTTAATAAGATGAGAGAGACAGAGTCTGGATCAGATGCTGGCAGTTCTCGCTGCAGTCTACCGGTAGCGTCTCCTTTCAGGCCAGGACAGACGAATGTCACCGAGCAGTGACTAAGTTTGTGGTCAAAGGCTTGCACCCATTTGCCACAGCAGATGCCCCGATTTAAAGTGAATGTGTTTAATTGTAGGCAGGGACATTACTGGATATTCGTGTGTAATTGCTACAGAATAATTTATGTTATACTTTGTTATTGCTACAGAAGAACATTTATTTTATTATTTTACATTTACAAATTTTTTTTCCTGGGGACCCTGTGACACCCCATTGAAGAGCCGTAGGCTGGATCTCTTAAGATCTCACTGTTGGGTTTGTAAGGCCATGTTACTCCTAAATTTCTATCTTGTTCAAAGAGAAGATATAAAACAAAGTTCTAAGCTAATCGACCTTAGTGTTCTCCTTTTTTAAAAAGAATCGATAAAGAATCGAATCGTTAAACAGAATCGAAACTGGAATCGGAATCGTGAAAATCTTATCAATACCCATCCCTATCTCTAGCTCTAACCAATGAGAATAGGTCATTTTGTTTTTCTTAAATTCCTTTCCCAGATTTTGGCAATAAAGAAGCAAATGAAGAAAATTATAAAGAAATAAAATCACGTAACTGCCATACATAAAAATTAATTTACAACTTGTTCAATAAATGTAAGCTTTCCTTTTTTTAAATTCCAGGTAGGTCTCGGTAGGTAGGTCTTCTATAACTTTAAGCGTCTATGATTATTATTTTTTTCTAATGCAAGTTTTCTGACATTATTGAATATGGAAATGAGTAAAGGGGGATGCTTTGTGCAATTATCCAACACATAGTTTGTACTAGTGTATATAAACACCTACATTTGTATTTTTGACATTTTCTTTTCACTACTTTTAAAGAAGACATCAATTTCAAAATTGTCCCGTGTCTGAGGGGGAAAAAATTGTCTCACCTAACTTTTTCTGATTTACACTTTGAACTCCAAAGAATAAAGAACGTATTAAAAAATACTCTTAAACATTCCTGTCGAAGTCATGAGAGTTTGTGAATTCTACATAAATATTAATTTGCATCTTGAATTAGTATGCACATAACATAATGCAGTAATTATAATAGCTGTAGGAATTTCATTATGGCATATGTATTACAGTACTGGAGGCTCTACAGTGTTGTCTATTTGAGGACATGATTTGAGGACACGCATGATCTGACTTTTCACTTTACATGTATATTCCAGCCATGCATGGTGTCACAGGAACCAAACGGCCTCGACACTTTTTATTCTATGCAACATTTTATTCTCCACACGCATTGTTTAACTACAAAGGGCCTGCAGATGTGAAGTGGTAGGTGGGATGACTGCATAAACACACGCTGTAAGACGTGAGCGATTAGAGCACAAAGAAGAAACACTTGTTTGTGCAGCTCCAATTCCTCCGCACCGCTAAGTGTGATAAAAGAGCTCCGAGCCTCTGCACTGGTTCTGTGACTGCAGCCCAGGGTCGAGTCACTCCGAATCAAATCAAACAAGATGAATCAGAGGACCTGTCCCGTCACTGCAACATGTGCCCGCGTCCTCGCTGCTGCTGATGGAGATTCATTCACTGTCTAAATAAAAGACACAGCTTTCCCTTTAGCTCTCATAAAAATTCATTTCAGACTGAGCTTATTGTTTTTCAGAGCAGTTCTGATACATATTTGAAGCAGATGGTTTTAATTTCTGCTGCTGGAGCTGCAGTGCAAAAAGAAAACTATTTGTTTTCCGCTTAAATCGACTCTTATGGAATTCATAACTTTCTTTAGAAAAACTAAAGAAAAGATAAAATTACAGTCCCATACACATAAGTGATTACAATGTCAACAACCCAAAACAGTGAAGCATGGGACCTTTAAGAAAATTTTCCATGAATCCAAGAACTGATAAAATCGGATTCAAACTCCTTTCATTTTGATACCGAATGGGGAGGCTAGTTCGGTAAGGTGTCAACTTACTGGGTCAACAGACATTAACAACGTCACCACCTCAGCCAACCAACGTTAACAAGACCAAAGTACAAAAATGTTTCTCTCTCCTTCCTAAAAGTTTCAACGGCCTAGAGATCAGATATAGTGATTGTGTGTGTGCATTTGTTCGTGTGAAAAAAGAGAGATGGTAATGATGTATATGCATTCCTGTCAAACCACAGGAGAGATATGATCAGCAGACCTGAAACCCGTAGAAGCTTTTAACAAGAAAAACGTGGGTGCAAATCAACCAGTGATTGAGGTGTCCATTTAAAAATTAAACACCCAGTTTTTCAAGAAAATAAATGAAGGAATTTTAAAAATGGCCACAGACTGTGTCTAAAAGATAGATGAAGCCACTGTGATGTCACCTACTTAAATAAATTTAATTGAATTAAATCATAATAACCTGTCAATCACAAAGTAGACATGGCTCAAAGCATACCCTGCATTATTATTTAATATATACTCAGTCGGACCATGTTTCAATAACTGTACACTATGCTGTATTTATGATACATGACGCTAGCAAAAACCTCATCAAGGAGTCGCCCCCTGCAGGCCCTTACAAATAATGCATTTTTTCAACACTGACTTTTCACACTCGAGGCTACGTCCATCTTTTATAGACAGTCTATGGCAAGGACTCTCAGAAGTTACTCAGTAGGTCAGCTTACCTATGGAGCCAAACATTTCAGTCACCGTGTCAATGTGAATTGTAACAGAAACAAAAGTGAAAACATGAACTCACTGGATGGTGATGCATAGTGGCGTCTAAGGTGTTCAAATCAGCATGAAATATCTGTTTTGGGAAAAAGCACAAATTCACCTCAAAGTCTATTTTAATAACTGGTCAAGAGGTTTCAATGATCAACTGATCTTTACTAGAGCAGGGAGAAAGGTTTGACAGCCAAGGAAACATAGCTACTGAACACAGGTTAGACGACCCTGGAGTGTGCATACGAAAAACAAGTACAAGCGGCTTCGACAAAGTGGCAAAAATAAATAAATAATATGAAGACATTGATGAAATATCAGCAAAAGCAGCAACTAACCAGCTATAATATTGTTATTATTATTACTGGTATTTTCAAGTGCGGATTTGCAATTAGTCTGCATCATCTACACTCGCCAACCAGTTCACCTGCTCTTTAATGTAAATATTTAATCAGCCAGTCACATGGCAGTAGCTAAGTGCATGGTGAAGACGAGCTGCTGAAGCCCAAGCTGAGCATTGGAACGAGGAAGAAAGGTGAATTTAGGCTACGTTCACACTGCAGGCGAAAGCGCATGAAATCCGATTTTTTTGACCCTATGCGACCCATATCCAATCATGGTATGACAGTGTGAACGGCACAAATCCGATATTTTTGAATCCGATCTGGGTCACTTTCGTATGTGGTCCTGAATCCGATACATATCCGATGTTTCAGAAAGCGACTGCTGTTTGAACGGTCATGTCGCATTAAATCCGTCTTTTACGTCACTGACACAAGACAGACGCCAATTATCAGCTCCGGAGAAGCGCCTGAGAAGACATCGCAAACGCTTCCTGGCCATCCAGTGAAACTGTTAGGAAGACAACGTTGGAGAAACGTGAACATTTTATTTGTACTGTATAATCTGCAGATTCTGACAGAAATCTGCAGCTATCCTTTGCAGCACCGCTCCTCTAAAACAGCAATAAGGATCATTATTAGGTTATTTACATTATTATGTAAATAACAAAATAACTTAAAGCAAAAATTGGGCAACATAAAATCCGAAGTCTTTATTAAGGGCCATCTGTCAAACAATACTGTTTGCTTTGGGTCTAAACAGAGCGCGTTGTGTGTGACGTCTTCTTTTGCGCATGCGGTCCGCATTGAGCGTTCACACTAGAGCACGTTTGCTGTCGCATTTTATTTGTAGTGTGAACGAGCAGACAAAAAAATCGGATTTGATCAAAAAATCGGAATTGAGCATTAAGACCTGCAGTGTGAACGTAGCCTTAGTGACTTTGAAATTGGCATGGTCAAAAAGCCACGATCTGCTGGGATTTTCCCACAAGACCATCTGTAGGGTTTGCAAACAATGGTCTGAAAAAGACAAAATACCCAGTGAATGGAAGTTTTCTGGGTGAAAATGTTTTGTTGATGTCAAAGGTAAGGGGAGAGTGGCCAAACTGCTTTTATCTGCTCAAATATCCACTTATTGCAACCAAAGGAGACAGAAGAGCATCTCTGAAAAGCAGCAGAAGACCACACCTACCACTCATGTCATTTAAGATGAGGAAATTCAGGCTCCAATTCACAGAGGTTCACTAAAATTGGACAATAGATGATGAATCTCGATTTTGACTACGACATTTGGATGGTAGGTTGAGAATTGTAGTGGTCCAGTGGTGCTGTAATGGTGTGGGGGATGTATTTGCATCATGGGCCTTCAGTCAGCAAATCTTTCAGAGGAATGTTTCCAGGATCTTGAATCTGTGCCACGATAAATTGAAGTAGTTCTGAAGACAAAAGAGGGTCTAAGCCTGGATTTGCAAGGCGTAGCTAATGAAGTGGCTGGCAAGTGTAAATCTGAAAGCGGTAGTGCTATAGCATGGATTCAACACAATAACGTGTCATATTCTGTGGGCAAGAGTCCAGTCTTGGTTTATATAAAGGTGGAAGTAAAGTCCTAAACATAGCTATTCCTTCTGTCTCGTCTTCTTTCCACATTGCTCTGTTTCTACCTCTTACTTTCTTTATTCCTGCTGTTTAAAGCTCTTGTTCTTCCAGTCTCTTCCTCTCACTCCATTAACTCTCATTCTTTGCCTTGGATCAATATCATGCTTCCATCTCATCCCCCTCAACAATTCCTCCTCTATCCAGGCCTTCTGTTTACTACCCAAATCGATACCTCCTCCTACTCCTCATCCTTTATTTTTCACTCTGATTTCTTCTTCATGCCACCTCCAGCTCTCCAGCCTCTTTCCTATTTTTAATCGCCTACAGTCTTCAGCCAGTTTTGGATCATTGTTTCATGTCATCTGCGTTATAAGACGCCCCTTCTGCAGTCATTCCCACAACTCACCGTCAGTGTTTTTCCTCCTTTCATCTTCTCCACTTTCTCCTCTATCAAACAAACATTTCTTCTTCATCTACTCGTCTCATTTTAAGATTTGTGAGGCCACCTTTCATTCCTTATTTGCTTTGATTGTGGATCTTTTCATCTATCACCACAAGAAAAAAAATCAAACTTCATACTTGTTGCATATTTCGCTTTATCACAGCATAGCTGTAAAACTGATGACCAGGGAGCTAAATTTGAATGCAGCTGAATAACTTACAACAACTTGGCTCAAACTTCACTTTCAGCTGTGGTTACTAGATTGGAGTAGCTATAGGGGACATAACTGTAATCATCCCTTTCATGCATAATAGCTGAAATTTTCAATACAGCTGAAATATTATGATCTCAGAGCTCAGCTATGTTTCATGACGTGTAAATCCCTCTGGTAACGAGCAGCAGTGGACAGCTGAAGTCAAACCACAAAAGTAACCAGTGCATTGCCATCCTGTGTGTAACTTAACGCCCTTTGGCCATGTTATAGATAGCCGTCCACACCAAAGTGCACACTGGAGGTCAGAAGGTCACTTTGTGGGATTTTTTTCCCCACCAACTGATTTGTCTAGTTCAGTGATTACCAAAGTGTGGGCCCCCTGGTGGCCTGTGAAGGTTCTGCAGGCGGGCCACAGTAATAAGTTAGTACAGTTACGTAGTAATATAAGTTTATGTATTCAAACAAAAAGTGAACTGAAACTGGTAATCGTGTCTGTGTCCCAGTGGCAGGTTTTTCACACATTGCCCTTAACACTTTGCATATGACTGGGTAGCATTAGCAATTTATAGCTAACAGCCTTTTAAGAACATGCATTACTTTCTCTTTCACTAGAGTGAAGATTTACGATTGGGTGGGCCCTGTGGGATTTTCTGGTTTTTAAAGTGACTTTGGGAATGACTGAATTAGAGCATTTGCTGGAGGTTTCGGGTGCAATAAAGGTTTTAGCTGGCTAGCAAATAAAAGAGGTAGAGCTGCACTCAGAATTAGCCTACTGTGCTAATGTACACATGCTAAGTAAAGTATTTTAGCTGGCTAGCATCTGATACACATGAAGATGATGGCTTGGGTTTAAAATAATCACCTGGAAGCTTAGAAAATAGAGCATTGTCAGAAAGTTTTTTTAGGGTACTGCTACTAATAATCTAAAACATTTTTTTAGACAGTAATATGTTCAAAGCTATCAATCAACGCTCTTCACTTTTTTCACCTTTCTAGTTCATATAATATGACTGTCTTCAGAAACAGTAAAATTCCCACTAACAAAGAGAAGTTGATCAAATCTCCAGAGAGTTGTCACCACAGAGCTCAAAATGCCGATAGTGCCACTGGTCTTCTAGGTTAAGCCGTTTAGACCACCAGAGTGTGCAGGATGGAGCACCACGTCAAAGCCATCACCATGAAAAAAAAAAAAAGCTGATTATGTGGTCTAGACATGCAGAGGTCTGCTCCATCCATCACAATACAAAACCTGCCAAAACGAGGCGTGGAGGAGAGGAGCAGGGAACAAGGTCACCTCAGTTCCTGCGGTTTAATTCTCCCTTTATGAGGCAAGCAGTCGATCACCTCTTAAATCTGACACAAGCTCATAGTACACATCCAATTTACCGACACTGCACTGATGAAGATGTATCAGTGTCCTGATTTTAACAAGTTAGAATAAAACTGTAAAGGTCATGACGCCTTTTCCTTCTTTTTGTGGCAAAGTTATGTGGCAAGGTGCAAACGGATGAAAAATGAAACAGGATGGTGCCGCAAGAAGGGACATTAACTTTCATAAAGTAGTCTGTTAATTGCTGATTGTAACTTTCAACAGACTAGCTGGATAATTGCCATATCATTACACTGAAAAAACAGAGAGTGAGAGTAAAAGTGAAAACTGAGTAAATACCTTTTTTTTTTAAAGCAGAACAAAGAGCAAAACACCTCCTGACCTACAATGTGAGCTTTGTAGTGGACACCCGAGTCACTGGTGACAAAGGACACCTTGTGAGTAATGGTAAGACACGGTTAGCATTGGACCTGGTATGACCACTGGTTGCTCTCATTGCTCAACTTCATACTAACAAAAGCTGCATCTGTGCATGAATGACAGAGAGACAGATGTAACAGTGAAGCCGCAGGGAGCAGGGGGAGTGAAGGTATGTGTGTTTAAATACCTGAGGTCAACCATCTGAAGCAACGGACAGCAGCAGAGGGGAGGCAGAGAGTGCAGGCAGGGTGAAGACGGATAGCAGCAAGAGTGCAAAGAAGGCTTACAAGATTGTAGTGAGACCTGCTGTGATGTGTGGGCTGCAGACAGTGGCACTGACAAAAAGACAGGAGGCTGAAGATGTTGGGACTGACCAGAAGGGACAGGATTAGAAATGAGTACAACAGAGGGACAGCTCAGGGTTAAAGACAAAGTTAGAGAGGTTGGTTTGGATGATGGGGTGATACAGAGGCCAGGTGAAAGGATAAGACGAGGCTGGATCACATGATGTTCCCTGAAACTAAAGCTGACATCTCATCCCAATTCGGATTATTTATATAGCTCCAAATCAGGAAAAACTCCCTTTTAACAGGAAGTTGAAGGCTCTGCCTCCAGTTCTACTTTTAAATACTCTAGGAACAACAAGCAAGCTCGCAGTCTGAAAGTGAAGTGCTCTACTGGGATGATACGGTGATGTGAGGTATTTAAGATCAGATGGAAGGATTTTAAATTAGATTCTGGA